AAACTTTAAGGGCTTTGAAGACTTGCTTAGGGACTATTTTAAAAGGCACCTAGTAAAAGAGGTGCCTGATTAATTAATTTGAGGCTAAGTATAGAAAATCTAATAAGGATATTATGTAACAGATTTAGCTATATATATATAGTCAAATATTAGACTAACTAAATAAGGAATTGCTAGGCTTAGTAATATTAGGATAAAAGTAGACTTGTTTTCTTATGCTCTTGATTAAGAGTAATCGTTTTTTTTTAAAGAGGGGGGTAATGTAATAGATAATGTATTTCCTCTGCCATAACATAGGAAATGCATATGCCAGCCACACCTGATTAATTAATTTAAGGCGGAGTACAGAAAATCTAATAAGGATGTCATATAACAGATTTAGCTATATATATATAGTCAAATATTAGACTAACTAAATAAGGAATTACTAGGCTTAGTAATATTAGGATAAAAGTAGACTTGCTTTCTTATGCTCTTGATTAAGAGTAATCGTTTTTTTTTAAAGAGGGGGGTAATGTAATAGATAATGTATTTCCTCTGCCATAACATAGGAAATGCATATGCCAGCCACATACTCAGGAGGCAACGCCTATAACTGACTCATAGCAGCAAGCAAACTCCTACCATAGGGCGCTTGTCAAAGCGTGTGAGCTATCCAGACGGATTACAAATAAAGAGGTTCGCCTTACCTGATTAGGGAAGCCTAAACTTCACTATACAGCAGGAGGCCGGATTAGGAACTATGAATGCATCTGTGCATGACTACATTGTAGATAGATTCTCTAGCTTTCGTTTTAGCAATTTATAGACTATTGACTTGTTCTAGTTTCAAGCCATTGCAAATATAGCGTTTGTAATAAGAATAGGTTTAAAGAGCAAACTATAGTTAAAGTATAAGAAATAATTTAAGCGGCCTAAACTTTAAGTATATAATAAAAAGGTAAGCTATATAAAGGCAAAAGTCTAAACAAACATATAAAAAAGTGTGATAAAGACTCTATAAAGAAATATAAACTCTATATTATATTATAAGTAGCTAGCTATAAGTATTATAATAAAATTATAGTCAAACGTGCTACTATAGTTATTATCTATAAATCTAGGAAACCTGATTACTTTAACCTAAAAACTTATCGCCTTATTGCCCTTCTTAATATACTAGGTAAGGCGTTAGAAGCAGTAATCACAAAACGTATCTGATTTATAGCTAAAAAGTACTCTTTTCTCTTAGACATTTAAATAAGAGTAAGGCAAATAAGATCTACTGAAATAGCCCTCTAATTAATTACTAACAAAATCCATACTATATAAGGGGCTAAACGCTATAGAGTAACTTTATTACTTAGCCTTAACATCTCTAGTGCCTTTGACTACGTTTCTTACAAAAGACTTATTTATAATCTTCGAAAGAGACAGATTCCCTTAAAGATTACTAACTAGGTTAAGGACTTCCTTTAAGATAAGGAAACTAAGGTCTGCCTTAGCTAATTCACGCTAGAAAGTAACAGAATATTCGCAGGCATTCTGTAGAGCTCTTATATCTCTTTAATTCTTTACTTATTCTATAATGCTAACCTCCTTAACATATATAAGAACATGTCACTTTATATAAGTGCTACAGGCTTTATTAATAATATTAATATCCTTATATATAGTTTAAGTATAAAACAGAACTATAGAAACCTTAAATATATATACTTTATATATAAGTTATAAGTGACCTGCTACAGGTCCTCCTTTAATTCGTCTAAATATAATCTAATCTACTTCTTTTATATACCTAAGAGATTTAATATGCTAGCTAAACTATTACTATCCTTTGTAAACGTAAGCCTTAACCCTAAGTTAGACGTTAGGGTACTCAGAGTCTAGCTTGACCCGGCATTATAATAGAAACCTTACCTTTATGTAGTTAAAGCGCGGGCGGTTTACTACCTAAGCGCCCTAAAAATACTATCTGGCTTTACTTAAGGCTTCTTTGTCTCCTTAGGGCTCTAGGTGTACACATTAGCTACTTGACTAGCGCTACTTTATAGCTATAGCACCTAATACGCCCTAAAGAGTATAACAGAGCATAAAAAGGGCATTAAAAATAAATTATAAGCCATCTAAGGACACTATCTTTAGGCTATTACAGAAGTCTATAAAGCTACTACTATATAGGCGCTTAAGGTTAAAACGTTTACTTCCTTAATACATCTTTATATAGAGATGTCTATAACTAACTTAACTTACTATACATTAGTAATAAATCTTTATAACATAATTAAAACTATAGCAAACCATATTTATTAATAAGGTTAAGGCAGCAAAAATAGGCAGACTAAGCCCTTTATTACTTCTTTTTACTTACTAAAAGAATAAATAAAAAGTTATATAAGTAGTCTATCCTGTTTTAAGATAAGGAATCTAGGCACTAACTCTTTATAACATGTCCTTCTTAATATTAAAATCGCTTCTTTAAAAGAGACAATAATCTATAGAATAATAAGATCTTAGCTATAATTATAGATATAATTACGTATCTTTCTTACGCCTTAGGCATTATTAGTAACGCGCAAGTATTCTATAGAGAACTTACTAACATTCTTCTTACGCTTAAGCTCCTCTTAATCTGCTCTAATTCCCCTTTATTTAATTATATAGCTATTATTTACTTTAATAGTTAGGTAATCTTATAGTTTCTTTTAAAAGATGACCTAATTTACTCTTAATCACTTTTTAAAGATATTTATTTAGCTATTAAGGAGCTTAAATAGAAGAAAATCTTAATTAAACTATAATAGCTACCTAAATATAAAGAGATTAGGGGCAACAAAATAACGAACAACTATACTAACAAAGTAGCAAGGACTATAAGCCCTCTTTAAGAGCTTATAACTCGCTTTCTCTTTGCAATTAAAAGGATTACAAAAAGAAGAGTCCTAAGACTAGTCTTAAGAAAACAGAGTACAAACCTACAGAATTACTAAGCTTTCTTCTTACGTTTCTCTTATAAATCGTAGGTTTTATGCTGGCCAACTAAAAGTATATAGTGCCCTGCTAACCTAGCTTAAGACTAGAGTAATCAGATTTAATGCCTTCCTCTTTAAACGCTGAGTACCCTCTGTGCCTAGCCCTCGCTGCAGGTGCGGGTTAGGGACCATGACAGTGTAGCACGTCCTCCTCTCCTGCCCTACATGGTCTCAGCTCCGGAGACGCGTCTTAAGCGACCACCTGTTCTCTGACATACAGAAGCTCCTTAATAGCCATAAAGGAGCGACCCAGGCTATTCGCTTCATCCTTCAGACTAACCTGCTAGCCCAATTCTCCCTGGTCGCATGCGACTCGCTAATAGTCACATAAAGCCCTTAGAGCTCACTTTAAATATACTGTCTCTTTAATCGCTATTTATTTTATAGCCCTTTATATAGTTAGGCTTATATAGATTTATATAATAAATCTGAAATAAGTTAAAGAGAAAAAAAAAAAATAGTTTTATATTATTATTATTTTTAATCTTATAAGGTAAAAAAAAAAAAAAAAAAAAAAAAGTACGCTATTTATAAAGATAATTACCTAATATAGTCTAGAAATTATAAAATCTAAAGAGCTAAAATAGTATAATAGATAATATATTTCCTTTACTATAGTATAAAAAATATATATACTAGCTATATACTCAGGAGGCAACATCTATAATTAACTTGTAATAGTAAGTAAACTTCTGCTATAAAGTGCTTATTAAAGTATATAAGCTATTCAGACAGATTACAAATAAAGAGGTTCGCCTTTATATATATATTACTGAAATAGATAATTAATTTAATATTAATATTAAATATAAAGATAACTCTATTAGTTACATTGATTTCTATGTCAATTATTAACTAATTTAGCTTAGAATTGACTTAATCGTCTTCTATACATACAAATTGACTAACTTGACAATTCTATAGATGTCAAATTGAATTAACTGAGACACAGAATTAAATGATTTGCCAAGCAATTGAACTGATTGAATTAACTAAATTGAATTGACTGGACATCATGGCCCGAGAACAAACAGGCCTAAAAGCAGAACAACATCAGCTGAAGTTTACGACCAGCAAAGGTGCGCACAGGCTTATCTTATTCTCCCCAGAATACTTATTGACTTCGTATAGAGCGCCTGAAATTCGAGAACGCCATCATCCCCTAGCTGAAGAAATAATCAAGCCTCCACCCTTTACGAGGCCTGCAATAATTCTGGACTTCGTGGTAAGTGTCCCTCTCAGCAATGCTGAGATCAGGGCCAACTGACAGAGACGGTAGGCACTTTCTTTTCCAAGTGCCTCCAGATGCGTCGTGCAAAGGCGAAAGGACTTCTTCGGCTGGGTCTGCCTACCAGGACTCAATACCAGAATGTCAACGACAGAGCGTTCCTTCCTGTTTCTGTGACAAAGGGAACACAGAACCAGTTCGTTATTAATAAATGTCTTGACGTTATTATAAGAGTGAACTACGAGTGAGTGTCATGGTTGAGCTCTCTTAAGACAAAGGAACACCCTCTGATGGCAGTATCCCTTGTAGGCCCGAATACCTCGAGGTGGGTATCCTTCCCAAATAGGAAGGATACCCACCTTGAGGTATTCGGGCTCACAAGGGATATATTAATCTAAGAGGATGAATGTTACGTAAGACAAAGTTCTATTATACTTAGAAGTTCTTTATCATAATTTAAAGCGATTTATAACAGGCTTTTTGAACTACACCAGATGTACTGGAGCTAGTGGCCAAAGGGCGCAGAAAAGAAGTGTGCTGAATGTGTGTGATTTCTATGTCCCATGAACGCCCATTGGGCATATCTATTCCATCTGATCTTGGCGCTATAGCCAAGATAAAAAAATCTGCAGCAACCTCCGCCCCCTCTTTGGGAATAGGGTGACCGCCACTTTAATGTCGCGCTCAAACCAGGTGGCAATCGCGTGATCCTTCGGTTCTTATCCCACCATCGTGTCCTCTTCTTGACCGAAGCCTAATTATCCTTTCAGAAATTCGGCCTTCTTCAACTTCAAAACAAGATACGCCACTAGTCTATAAACAATCATGCAAACACCCAGGGCCAGCAGATACAATTCCGGATCATAGTCGAGCCCATACAGCCTTAGTACGTCCTCGCCCGTCTCAAGTGGACACACGCCGTTGTCCAAGCGCTGATTTTCATCACAGTCCAATCTGAGGCCTCGAAGATGATAGGGCGCGAGGTTTCCCACCGCCCACTTTCCAGGGGAGAGATAATTCATCCAATCAAGAAACGGGGACAGGTGGATACTAACGATGCCAGCCAGGAGAAGCGCGATCGATAGTAGGGCTGAGGTCACATTAACAGCAAAGGCCGTGTGCTCAAAGAGGGTGTTGAAGATAATCGCAACAGACTCGCCGCAGTTGACGATGCAGAAGCAGTTGTATGCTACGACGAAGAACACCTGGACTGATCGGGCGAAACCAGTGGCGAGGCCAGCGAGTAAAGCAAATAACAGGCTGATGCTGATTTCGAATGGGATCTCGAGGATGGTGTACTCTAGGAGAAAGGCTTCGGGTGAGTAGACCAAATCTTCGCATTCGCGGTTGAAGACCTGGAAAGAAGATTAGCCCTGGGTGCGGAGCGCAGGGTTAGAGAGATTCGAGGCAGAAATCATGGCCTATCAGCAGTGGATATGCACTTGTGTGCACACATTCCGATGGCTGACGAGTCACACGTATGGCTGTGATGGCAGAGCCGTCGTGCTGATAAGCCATACTTTCTGCCGTCGAGCCTCGCCAGGCGTGACGTACCATCATCTCGGTAGGGTATATGGCGAGGTTCTGAAGCATCCCAATGAAGTAGACACCTTGAACATCAGCTTCTGATAGATTGCTGTCTGACAAGGGACATCTTACCAATGACCTCCTGAATGAGACCCATTCGTGACTGTATACTGTTGTAGTCCGTCTTCAAAGGCGCAAAGAAGAGAGTGATTATCACGCTGAACGCGATAACCTGAGTTGTCCGGGCAAGCACAGCCTGAATATCGCGCTGCAGATTGATCATGCTGCGTTTCAGAATAAGCGGCAAAGATATATAAAGCGGCGCCATAGACCGTTTGAGAGAACCTAGTTCGGCGGGCGTCATTGCAGCAGCTGATTGGCCTGGTATAGAATCCTGAGCTGCTTCCCTGTTCGTCCACTGCGCAATAAGGCGTTGAAGCCGTATCTCTCCATCTGCGTCGCAGCGATCGGCAACCGTATCTATAACATAGTCTGCTGGGTTAGTGGCGCTGGGACATTCGTATCCTAACTTCGACAGATAAGGAAGTATGTCCTTCCTGTTTCCTCCATAAATCTGGTGCCCGCCACGAGCCAGAAGGAGAATCGTGCTGAAATGTTCGAAGAGTTTGAAACTTGCTTGATGGATGGTTAAGACTATGGTACGACCCTCCTTGGCCAACTCTTCGAGAACTTCGATGATCGATGTCGCAGTGTAGGCATCTAGACCTGAGGTCGGCTCATCGAGGAATAAGATCTTTGGATCTGTGAGGATTTGAACAGCTATTGTGCACCTGCGCTTTTCGCCTCCCGATATTCCTTTGATGATGGCGTTGCCAATACGCGTGTCGGCGCACTCTGTCAAACCAAGCTTGCGCAGGACATCTTCCGAGCGCTGGATCTTGTCATCGATCGACATCCAAGTTGGTAGACGCAGGAGGGCAGCAAAACGTAGTGTCTCGCGCACTGTGAGACTTGGTAATAGTGCATTATCGTCCTGGCAAACGTAGGAAGTCAAGGAAGTAATGAGTTCTTTAGAAGCAATACTTCCACCGAGGACCATCCTCCCACCAGCGACGTGGTACTGCATAAGCCCGTCCGGGAGCCGCTGTGCCATGGTGTTCAAAAGGGACGTCTTTCCACTCCCGGATGGCCCGAGTATTACGTTCAAAACTCCGGCATCGAAGGTTGAATTGACATTCTTGAGGATTGGAATACGACTAGGTTTGGTGAAAGGTGTCCTTCGCTTGTAGATGCTCAAATTGAAGTCCTGCAATGTGATACCTATTGGGCGAGAAGACTTCGTAGCAGCATTGGAAGCAGCATTGGAAGCAGTATTGATCACCTTCGACTCATCTTTTGATAGAGGCTCTCGAATGAGGCCACTCACGCCCGGTCTTACAAGATGCAATGCAACAGCAGCCCCAAAATTAAATGCCAATGTAAAGCCAACAAGGATCAGTATTGGCCGCCAAAGCCAGGATTCTGTTGGAAAACCTAGACTGTCCATGATGAATAGCCCTGTATAGGGGCGGCATTGTGAATTCTCTGCCCCTCCAGGATAAGGACAGTCGTAGAATCGGCCATATGGATTATCAGTGTGTGCGAGGAACTCGTTAGTGTACAGAGCTCCGTTTGTGAACCATGCGTAGGCTACATACTATCCTGATTTCAGTCCTAAGTCATGGATGCGTGGAAGGGCAAGATTACCTTCAGCCAGCGAACATACATAGGAATCTGATTAGATTGTATGATGAAACCACCTGAGAGGTGTTAGCGCCACATACGAGTCTTATTCATGGTGAGGGGAGGGTGGAGAAGTCAATACTGATCGGGAGTATCAGCGATTCAGTATGAGGAATTTCTGTCGTCCGCACAATAATCCTGCCAGAATGCCAGAGTTCCAGAATACTGCAACGGCTTGGGAGGTACACTTACTGCACATTGTCTGAAGAGTGTAGTTCGTATTGGCCAGAAGAGATGAGGTGGCTACCTCGCGCGAGATACAAACACAAAGCATTGCGAAAGTGACAGCTAGGTACTGACCAAGCACCATTATGACGAAGAAAACAAAGAATTGAGCGGCTTCTCGACGAAAGCCAGCCATGAAATAGTATATGACTGAGAAGATCAATGGCACCGGTAGGTCTTCCAGAAAAAGTTTTGCGAGTCTCCGGCTCAGAAGAAATGACCATACGCCGACCACCCCATCCTCTCTTTCCCGATCGAAGAGTTTGATCTCATCTGACAATCTGAATACCTCGAAAACGAGGATAATGTAACCTTGAAAACCGGGGGCGGCGTAGAGGCCACCTTCTCGGCTTCTGATTCCTGAGAGACTTTCATCAAGATTGATGAAAATCCATCCAGTGATGAGAGATATGACTAGAACCTCGATTGCGATTCCCAGTAGTCCCATCCTATCGCGAAGTGTCGTCTTAAATGTTCTCGCTGTTTGAAATTTGACTTCCCTCACGAAGCGCGATACGGTATCCTCTTGAGGAAGAATCTTGATGTCATTCGATGTGATGGAGGCTTCCCAAACCTTACTGGTGTCAGCGACTCTGTCTAACTTCCAAGCACCTTTTAGCGTCTCTACTCTCGCGTTCGTAGCACGATGGAGCTGATGGGTCCTAGAATCGATGGCCGCAAGGTCAATCACAAATTCAGCTGGATTGACCAGCGACGGCAAAGGATGACCGAGCCTTGTAAAATAGCCAACGCATTCGTCCATAGGCCCTGAGTATATCAGAGACCCCTGTGCTAGAATGACAACCCGATCAAACAGACTCCAGATTTCCGACCGAGGCTGATGAAAGGTTCCAACGATAGTTCGACCTTTGGAGGTAAGTCGTTTCAAAGCTTGCGTGAGTCCGTATGCATTTGTTGCGTCCAGACCAGTGGTGGCCTCATCACAGAAGAGCACCGACGGGTTGGCGAGCAGCTGTACCCCCAGGCTGACCCTTCTTTTCTCGCCGCCTGAGCAACCCCGTCTATCATCGCCAATGACGGTGTCAGCGCAGCCTTCAAGGTTTAGTTCCTGGATAACAGAGTCCACGAGCTCCATGTGCTCTTGGCTGGACTTAACGTACGCGGCTCGGAGGCCCGCAGCGTACCAAAGAGTCTCCCGCACTGTCAGGGAGGGAAGCAGACCGTCCGTTTGCACCAAATATGCCATTCTAAATCGACACGGCTTTAGTGACTTGTTGTATAGTATCTGGCCAGATGATTCGATGCCATTTCCACGAAATCTTCCTGCCATTGCGTTCAAGAGGGACGTCTTGCCGCTACCACTGGCTCCTAGGATTGCAGTGAGGCTGCAATGAGGTATACGAATGTTAAGATCATCGAGAATTCGGTGACTCGATAGTTGTTGTTCGGAAGTTCCTTTCGGAGCCCAAATTGACAGCCTTGGTCGTGGGCGCATGAACGTAATAGTGAGATTCTCGACGTCGAGGCTGACTGGGTGGACCCCGTGTGCCAAGTGGCTTGAGGCCATGTTCTAAGGGATTATTGTTCTTGAGTGTACTGAGCGATCATTCTTGGAAGCCGAACGATCCAGTATGATAGCTCCACAAGACTGACCTTTCTCAAGGGAAGTTTTGCTTAAGGCTCATTCAAGAACTCCTGGAGAACTCCACTTGATGGGTGGCAACAGTCCCAGAGCACGCCCAATTTTCAAGAATTCTTCAATGGTCGTAAGTCAACTAGCATACCGGTTACTCGCTTTTCCAGCTTATTGTTGAGAGCTGCCTGAAACAATCCCATAGAATCAACAAGAAACGCCGCCGAAGAAAAGCTCAACCAGAAGGGGCAGGCAAAACGCGTGAGACATCTCTGCCCAATGAGTGTTTGCCGAGCCTAGACACGTGTTCAACGTTGTTCAACCGGGAGGTTCCATAGCCGAAACATGCATTTCACGCTATTAGCACCCACTTTGAGTCA